TGGGAAAGCAGTTGAGGATGGACTAAGGCTTTGGGATCCTGCACCCATGTGGGAGACCTGGAAGAGGCTCCTGGCTTCGGATCGGCATAGCATCGGCCGTTGCTCTCACTTGGGGAGTGAAACATCAGACGGAAGATCTTCCTCTCTGTCTCTCCTCTCTGTATATCCGCCTTTCCAATAAAAATAAAATTAATCTTAAAAAAAATTATGATTAGGTGTTGACTTTTGTCAAATGTTTTCCCACTATGTAATGAAGTGATTATATATTTTCTTCTATAGTCTATTAATATTTGAATTATTTTGATTTTTCAATCATGTAGTTAAGTCAGATTTTAATGCTAGGATTAATCTCTACTTGTCCAGTGTAGATTATCCTTTGAAATTTCATTTTTGGATTTGATTGGTTAATATGAGTTATTCTTGCTTCAGTGCCCATGAGGAACATTGGTCTACAATTTTATTTTCTTTAAAAGTCTTTTGTCCATTTTGATATCTGGGTTATACATGCATCATAACATTAGTGTCTCTGTCTTCTCTATTTTCTGGAAACATTTGAGTCACAATGATGCTATATATTTCTCAAATATTTGACTACCGTATGGACCTGGAAGTTTCCTCATAAACTTCATTTTCTTTTAGACAAAGGGTCGTTCAGATTTTGTTTCTCTCACCATTTTTGGTAAGTTACACTTTTCATATTCTTTTCATTTTATCTAAAGTTTTAGATTCATATAAAGAGAGAATTATCCAATATATTTTCTTATTATAATAAAGTATCTTTAAGTTCTGTAATGAAAAAAACTCTTTCATTCCTGTTATTATTTATTTTTGTTCTCCTCTTTTTAAATTGTCCAATTCAGGTTGGATCCTATTTTGTTGACTTTTTTAAAACATTAACTTTTGTAAAAAAAAAAATTATTTCCTTTATTTGAAAGGCAGAGCTGAAGACCAAGAAGGAGAGGCAGAGAGAGAGATCTGCTGGTTCACTGCCCAGATGGCCACAGTGGCCTGGGACGAGCCAGGCTGAAGCCAGGAAGCATCTTGGTCTTCTAGGTGGTGGCAGGGGCCCAAGAACTTCCACTGGCTTCCCAGGCCTTTAGCAGGGAGGTGGATCAGAAGTGGAGCAGCAGGGGGCACGCTGATACGGGAATCTGTTTTACCACAATGCCAACAAATGGTAATTAAATGATTACCATTTAATTAGAGCTTTTCCATATTATTCCCTAGCACTCTGATGTGCTGCTTTTTTATTTTTCCTAAAAGCGTTTTCTTTCTTCTTTCATAAGATTAAAGTTGTTAAGATTAAACAATTTGTAACATTTTGCAAATTCACTTTATGTGTAGCTGTTATATACACTTGTACATATACATACAATTTTTCTTTAAACTCAATTTAATATATAATATGGAACTCATTACAACGATTGTAGTGTGAGGAATGAAAGCTAGATATTATAACTCAGTGAAGACAATATTTACAGCTATCTGTATATCAAATAGTATCACATCAGTACATTTTTCCTATCTGTATATTTTAACTTTTCTGCTGTCTTATATTGGATAACTTCCATTGATTTTTTTCTTTCAGTTCATTTTTTTCCTCTGACATTTTCATTATGCTAGTTAAGTTTTTATTGAAAGTATACATTTTCAGATATAAAACTTCTATTTAAGATTTTTTTAAATTTCTCAGCTAAGAGTCTCTGCATTCTTTTTACATTTCCGGTATTTTTATCTTTACTTCTTTGACCATAATTATATTAGCTGTCTTACCATCCTTGTCTAATGATCTCAACTTCTGGTCATTTCTGGATTGGCATCTGGTGATTATTTTTGCTTTAAGAATGGGTCTTTTTCTATGCCAAGCATTTGTGGGTCCACCCTGGATCTCATTCACATTTTGCCATGTAGAGTACGGGTTGGGCTGTGTTGACTGTGAAGCATGTTGGTGCTTTCCGTTTGGTAAGCAGCTCAGCGGGCTGGACTTGGGACAGCCTCTGCCTCTCTCCCTGCCGTTGGCAGTGTTCTTTCACTGTCTCAGTTCAGCTTGTTCAGTCTGACCCAGTATACATGGTTCAAAGGTCAGTCTGGGACTTGTGTGGGGTTTAAACACAGAATTAGGGGATTATGTTCTTTGGCTTGCCCTCCTCTGCGATTTCTCTCTCCCTTCTCAGTGATGGTCATTGCCCAAATCTCCTCTGTGACTCTTCTGGTTGGGATGATGAGTTTAGCAAGGCTTTTGCCACCTGCACGTCGCAATTCTTCAATTGCAGATTGCATTTAAGGAAAGCTACAGAAAGCCTGGGAACTCACTTTCAGGCTCCCCCCCCCCACCCCCACCCCCTTTTATTGGCTCTGCCACAGTCTGTGAGCTTTTGTTTACTCCTGGGAGTCTTGGATAGTTTTTTTTTTTAAATATATATATAATATATATATATATTTTAATTCAGGACTTAGAAGTTGTTTAGAGAGAGTTTGAATTGTAAAGGGTAGCTGGGAATTCCCCCAACAGAGAAATCTCCTTTCCGTTGTTTCACTCTCTCAGTGGGGCTTGGCCTGGCTGAAACCAGGAGCCTTGAACTCGGTCCTCGTCTCTTATGTATTCAACTACTTGAGCTATAAATTGCTGCTTCACTTGGTGGATATTAACAGGAAGCTGACATTGGAAATAGAGCCAGGACTTGACTGTACACACTGCTCCCCCTGCCCCATTCTTAAAGTATTTATTAGATGGGTGGGGTAGGCTAGAGGCAGACAGAGAGAGAGAGAACAAAAACCAGTCTGCTCCCATTTGCCAGTTCACTGCACAAATGCTGGCAACAGCCAGGGATGGGACAGGCAGATAGGCAGGAACTCAGATCTCCCATGTGGGGAGCAACAACTCAATTACTTGAGCTAGTACCGCTAACTTCTAGGATATTCGTTGATAGGAGGCTGAAATCAGAAGTCAGAGGTCAATTCAAGGAACTCTGATGAAGAATGTAGGTGTCCCAGCTGGTGTCTTCAACACTGGGCTAAATGCCCGCTTGCCATTTCCTTCTGCCTCCTTTCTCCTCTCACCCCTCCCCTCCCCTCTCTCCTCCTGTCTCCTCCCTTTCTCTCCTCTCCTCTCCTCTCCTAGCCTCTCCTTGTCTCCCCTTCCCTCTCCTCTCCTCCCCTTCCCTCCCCTCTTCTCCTCTCTCCTCTTCTCCTCTCCCCTCCTCTTCTTTCATGATCTCTCCTCTCTCTTCTCCTAGTTATGTTTTTCAAAGGCAAAGTGACGGGGAAGGTGGTGATATGGTGATATCTTCTCTCTGCTAGTGTATTGCCCAACAACCAGGGTTAAACCAGACCAAAGCCAGGAGCCAGGAGCTCTGTCCAGGTCTCCTACATGGGTATCAGGAACCCAGGTACTTGAACCATCTTCCACGGCCTTCCTGGCTCATTAGTAGATAGCTGGATTGGACATATAATGTAGCTGGGACTTGAACTGATACACTGATATGTGATGTGGGCTTCCCATGCAGTGGCTTAACCTGCTGTGCCATAACTCATAATTTAGCCTTTGTTTTGTGCATCCTTTCTAATGAGCACATCTAACTGGTACTTACTATTATTGAAATTATTAGTAATGATATTAGGAATTTAAGGCAGCAATATAGGATTTTATGGAAAGTGTGGAAAAATAAAATATTACTGTTATTCCACTTTTAAAAAATATTTATTTTATTTTTTATTTGAAAGGAAGATTTACAGAGAGGAGAGACAGAGAGATCTTCCATCTGCTGGTTCACTTCCCAATTGGCCACAATGGCTGGAGATGAGCTGGTCTCAAGCCAGAATCCAGGAGCTTCTTCCATATCTCCCACATGGACACAGGGGCCAAAAACGCTTGGGCCATCCTCTACTGCTTTCCCAGGCCATAAGTATGGAGCTGGATCAGAAATGAAACAGCTGGATATTATGGGATACTGGCGCTGCAGACAGAAGCTCAACTTACTATGTCACAGCACCAGCCCCTGTTATTCAATTATTTAAAAAAGAGTTATTTATTTTTATTGGAAAGTCAGATATACAGAGAGGAGGAGACACAGAGAGGAAGATCTTCCATCCGTTGATTCACTCCCCAAGTGAGTGCAACAGCCATTGCTGAGCTGATCTGAAGTCAGGAGCCAGGAGCTTCTTCCAGGTCTCCCAAATGGGTGCAGGGTCCCAAGGCTTTGGGCCGTCCTCGACTGCTTTCCCAGGCCACAGGCAGGGAGCTGGCTGGGAACTGGAGCAGCCACTACACAAATCAGCACCGAAATAGGATCCTGGCGCATGCAAGGCGAGTTTAGCTGCTTAGGCTACCACTCTGGGCCTGTTAGTCCATTTTTAAAAGCAAAGCTATTAATATATTTGCATATATATTTCCTTTTAGGCTTTTTGGTAAATTATGATGGAGAGAAGCAGATCTCATTTCTGCCACCTTTTTTTCCCCAAAGAAAATATTTTCAGAACATTTTTACTTTCTTTGCAATGCTGCAGATTTTCCTAGATGAGACAGACTGTTGCTGGGCTTCAAAGTGTCTTTTGGCATGTTAGTGTTGTGCGTTGAAAGTTAACTTTGTCCTGAAATTTAGGAAGTAAAGTGAGATATTTGGCTGTAGACCTCCATTCAACATTAATATCCTACAGAGCTACCAGGAGCTGCACGTTTTCTGTGTCTTCTGGTAGAGTACAGGAACAAGTGCAAACACCTGGCACTTAAGGCTTGGCACATAGCCTACCAGGAGGCTCACACAGCCTTCTCTTCCTAACTCTGCTGGGAAGGGGGTCAAAGCTCCCCAGCCCCCAGGCGTTCGGCCCCTGCAATTCCAGAGACTTTCCTGCCTCCCCCTGCCCCCCCTTTTATCTTTCCCTTGGAGAAATTGCACATCTTGGGGGTAGCTTTTTTTTTTTTTTAAATCCCAACCACCACCATGTGTATGTTGGACTGACACTAACAAAAGTCCCCTGTTTGGTAGGTCTCATTGGTCAAGATGTCCATGATCCCGAAGCACTTTGGACTGAAACCCAGAGAAGAATCGTACATATTTAAAGAGCTTGAGAAGCTTCGCCAGGATACTAAGAAGGATTTTCTCAGACTCAAGCACAAGTTAGCCTCCAGGCCGCTCTTAGAGGAAGCACCCATTCGCCTCCTTCAGGCCCCGGACTCAGTCCACCTTGCAGGCCAGAAGTCGGTTTCCCCTGCTGGAGTCGGGGTGCTACCAGCGCCCCCTTTGGTCAGAGGACCCGAGGCCCATGAGCAGGAGAGGCTCCCAAGTGCCGCGCGCCCCCGGGGCCTGGGCGAGGCGGCCGCGCGGCCGAAGGCCCGGGTATTCCGCCCCCACGAGTTCTACTTGCGGAGCTCCGCGTTCCGCCGCTACCCCTTCCAGAAGAAGCCGCCGCTCATCGCCTCCGGGGTGGGCACCTCGAAACCTGTGGTCCTGCTGCCGCCGCCCGCACCGCTCGTCAGGCCCAGGGCGCGCCCGGTGCCCTTGACCCCGCGCCCCGCGGCGTCCAAGCAGGCCACAGACTCGGCCCGGGCGTACGAAGTTCTCCAGGAGCGGGCTCCATCCGCTGACACGCGCAGGGCCAACGCCAGGAAGACCAGCTCCCTTTCCAGCGAGGACAGCGACGTGGCCCCGAGCAGGTGGAGGCACGTGAGGATCACCACCCACTACCTGAGCCAGCTTTCCCGCGGCGAGGCCGGGGAGGCGGCCGGGCTCAGGGCCCAGCGCACCAGCCGCCAGGCCAGCGACGGTTTGGAGGCCTCCTGGCTGACCCTGCCGCCCCGGCGACCGACCCCCACGTCCTTCAAGGAGATCTTCACCTCGCTGTACTCGGAGACCCAGCTAGCCTCTGACCAGACCATCAAAGAGCTCATCCAGAGCATCCTGGGCCCGAGCTACGACTTCAGAGTGGAAGTAGGTGAAGCCCTGACGGCTGTAATGTTTGTCTTGCGTAAATGGAGCTAACGTTAGGATGATGAGTTCATTGTGCACGATATTTCAGACGGCCCAAGAGTTGCTGTAACGCCAAAACGCTGCGGTGTTGTTCAGCTTCCTGGCGGTTGGTTTGCGTTTGATTTTTCCATCAAGGGAGTATGTCCTCTTTTCAAAGTAAAAGAGATTTCCCGGTTTAAAGCACATGAATAGGGATTTGCAAAAAAAAAAAAAAAAGAAAACGCTAATTGAAAGTTTATTTTGGTGCAGGAAACTTGGAATGCACGTGTAGCTTTTGCACACTTTCCATGGACTTCTTGAAGACCTGTAATAGATCATTAGGAGCGTTCCGCTTTAAAAGCGTCATGATTATTTAATCTTGAGCTAACAGATACAAACTCAATCCTTTGCAGGTAGTCATTAGCGTTATAGTGAATTACAGTGATTAATATCCTGAAAGCAGGGTAGCCCTCTTAAGAAATTTAATTACAGTTATGTGCGATTTTCAGTGAAAACCATTTTCTTGAAATGTTTATTTAAAAAATATGTGTTTTCTTCCCGCCCCCCCCCAAGACACTCACACATACTCTGACACTATGGGGCGCACGTTAAGTGTTTTTTTTTTTTTTGGTCCCAACAACAGCCACGTGAGGTAGATAGGTAACAGCCTAGGTTTTACTTACTGGACCTTCCTGCTTTTCCTGAGGCTCAAGGAACTGCAGAGTGTCCTGTGGTTGATGCGTGGTGGAGTTGGACTCCACTGCAGGTGTTTGTTCCTAGAGGCTACCCTGGGGTCATGCCCAGGATGGTTCATTTGTTGACGATGATGAGTTCCTGGCAAGAAGTAAAGCAATATAGGGTAATAGTTGAGATTTTGTGTATTACCTAGATTTTGTTCTGGCAGAGACATTGAAAGCAAAGAAAAAAAAAGAGAGAAGTAGGGCCATTTGAACCATACAACTCAAAGGAAAAAATGAGACACAAAGCCTTTGTAAGCATGACAGTAAGAAGGAGGAAGATTCTGTTACTGTTCTTGGCCACAGCTCTAGCTCTCTTGTTAGTACACAGAAGACTGCTGCCACGGTGTGTCTTTAAGATGGCTCCAGCTTCAGGACATAGTCTTGGCTGTGATTTAAGGAATGCAGTCATAAAGAGAAGCAAAAACACGTACGGACAAGAGTCCCCACTGTTGTCTTTTTTTTTTTAAAGATTTATTTTTATTATTTTTTTTTTATTGGAAAGGCGGATATACAGAGAGGAGAGACAGAGAGGAAGATCTTCCGTCCGATGATTCACTCCCCAAGTGAGCGCAACGGACCGATACTATGCCGATCCGAAGCCAGGAGCCTCCCACGCGGGTGCAGGGTCCCAAAGCTTTGGGCTGTCCTCGACTGCTTTCCTGGGCCACAGGCAGGGAGCTGGAAGGGAAGCGGGGCTGCCGGGATTAGAACCGGCGCCCATATGGGATCCCGGGCGTGCAAGGCGAGGACTTAACCACTTGCGCCACCGCGCCGGGCCCACCCACTGTTGTCTTTGACCTAACGTCTGTGAGAAGAGTATGACAAATGTTCTGAATTAAGACCCAACCCCCTTCTCCCTGGTTACTGAACCAGGTTAGTGTGACTGACTCTGCAGGTCATTGCAAGTGGGTGTTTTGAATGAGATTTTCTGCACAGCTGTTAGACAAAACCTTCAGGGATGCTCACTGAGCAGCCTTCGCCAAGAGACAAGGCGTAGATGCACTGGGGTAGACCCCATGCTTTATGGCACAGTTATGATACTTTGATGGGAAAAGGAGCCAAGATGAGAAACTGGATAAAAGACCTGAATGGTTGTGGCCTGTTAATACTTCAGACCAGAACCCCCAAGAAAGAGTGCCATTTGAAGGGTTCAGCTGGAATGAGGAGTAAACAAAAGGAGAATATCAAATGAATGTTGAACATCAGAACAATGCATTCTGTTCTTATACCCACAGTGCTCATGTCTCTTGTGTATGTTTGGTTTTTGGTGCTTCATTTACCTGATTTTTTTTTTCATGTAGGAGAGTGGCATGGATTATGGGCTGTTAAAACCAGGAGCCTGGAACCCTAGTTCTGTGCTGTGGGGCACGGATGGTATCAAACATGGCAGTCCCAACCCTACCGTCCATTGTCTGCGTTATTCAGATTCATATCCTGTCTCTCTCTCTCTCTCTCAATGCAGTTTGGATTCTTTGGTGCTTTTTAAAATTCTGCTTCTGTCTAACTCCAACAGAAACAGAAATTTGATTAGGGGGAGAATGGAGTTGTGGATGGGCATATGAGCATGATAAATGTGAAAGTGGTATCTAAATAATGATTTTTTTTTTTAAAAAAAAGTTTTAGGATTAGAATCTGATCATTTGCTTTAAAATTTGGAGTGTATATAACTTGATGTTCTCTCTAGGGACAGCAAGCATGGCGCCTTGCTGTGGAAGTTTTAAAGTGGAACCAAAGAGAAAACCACTGGCAGAATTATTTCTGTTTTAGACCTCGGGCGAAGTCATTTTAGACTCTTCATTCAAAGTTTCCCACACAGGAATCAGGAGATACACAAATATCTGAAGACTGAACTTAGCAATCAGATATAGGTCAGACATTTAAACCAGAATTTTCACCTTTAGCATTTTCAAATGTTGGACTAAATGGTTCTTCAATGTGGGTAGCTATCTTATGAATTGTAGCATATTTCAAAGTGTCCCTGGCACCCACCTATCCACTAGATAATAGTAACACCAAGTGTTCAATAAAAAAAAGTCATTTGAGGTGGCGATTTGGTTTAGGAGTTAGGTTGTCTGATCAACAATCTAAGTACCAACCTAATGTTATCAACACTGTATTATTGAAATATGTTAACAGATACCAACTTCTAAGCAAAGTATGGAATTTGAGCCCAGAAAAAAATTTTTTAAAGATTTATTTATTTTTATCACAAAGTCAGATATACAGAGAGGAGGAGAGACAGAAAGGAAGATCTTCCTCCAATGATTCATTCCCCAAGGGAGCGCCACGGCCGGTACTGCGCCGATCTGAAGCTGGGAACCAGGAACCTCTTCTGGGTCTCCCACGCTGGTGCAGGGTCCCAAGGCTTTCCCAGGCCCCAAGCAGGGAGCTGGATGGGAAGTGTGGCTACCGAGATTAGAACCGGCACCCATATTGCATCCCGGCGCGTTCAAGGCGAGGACTTTAGCCGCTAGGCCATGCCGCCGGGCCCGAGCCCAGAAAATTTTATTATAGATACTGGCAAGTATATTTCAGTATTTATGAACATATGGAAAGACAAAGGAAAAAGAATAGCTAACAATAGCTTAAAAAAGAAGAAAAAATGGAAAGCATTAGTGTGCCTCACTTCGAGCTGTGTCATATAGGTACAGTAATCAAGACGGTATGGTCTCGGTGGAGGGAGAGTTGGAAAGATCAGTGGAATAGAATAGAGAATGAAGAAATATATTCATCTACCTCTTCCCAGCTGGTTTGATAAAGGTGAAAGAGCAGCTCAATGGAGGAGTGATCACTTTGATACCAAATACTGCTGGTTAGCAAGTGGGTTTCACAGACAAAACAGGACTTCTACCAAAGTCTTCCCTTATTTCAAAATCAGCTTCAAATAGATCATGGACTGAGGCGTGAAGCTAGAACACTGTCAGGAAAAAAAAATAAGAGAGTATCTTACGGCTTTAATGTCAAAGGATGCTTGGATTTGAAACTAAAAGCATGATGCTTAAATGCAAAAATGACAAATTAGACTTTTTCCAAATTAATTTTTTTCTCTTGTCTATGAAAGACTCTATTCAGAGGACGTAAAGAGGTTGTGGGCTAGGAGGAAATGTCTGTAAGCCACATCCACAGCAAAGGGCTGGTGTCCAGGACTTGTAAAGAGCTCTCAGCAGTAAAATATCCAATTAGAAAGCAGATAAAATGGGGTGGGTGTTGAGCCTAGAAGATATCTGCATCCCACGTTGGAGTATCCAGAGTCAATATCTTTCTGCAGCTCCTGACTCCAGTTTTCTGCTAACACAGACCTTGGGAAGTGAAGGTCATGGCTCAAGTTTTTGAGTCCCTGCCACTAATGTGGGAAACCTGGATTAACTTTCTCTGGCATCCATCCCAAGTCGTTGTAGGTCTTTGGGAAATGAACTGTCAGATGGGAGCTCTGCCTACTTGCCTGCCTGTTACTCTGCCTCTCATATAAATAAGTAAGTAATAAAAAGTTTAAAAAAAGGAATTGGGCAAAAGATATAAACAGACATTAACTTGGGAGTATATACAGATGGAGTGTAAGCACACACACACACACACACACAAAAAGACATTCCATATCATTCACCTTTAGAAGATGCAAGTCAGGACCACTATGATACCAGTGAACAATTATGAGAATGTCTAAAATACACAAAATGCAACACCACCAATTCTAGCAGGGATACAGAGATACAAGGTCACTCATAAATTGTTGATAGACACTGTTACAGCCACTCTGAAAAGCAGTTGGAAGTGTTTTTTTTTTTTTTTTTTTACGGTAATGCCCGCATTACCACGTGATCTAGCAGTTGTGACAGAGAAGGGAAAACTTACTGTTCACAGCAGCGTCCTCAGTAACAACCCAAAAGTGCAACCAAAGCTAGATGCTCCTCAAGGAGTAAATATACGTACTACCCTGCCAGAGGAAGAGATTGAAGTGTTGATACCTGCAACAGCTCGGGTGAATCTGCAGTTATGCCGAGGAAGAAGGGCCCACTTCCAGAAGTCAGGCACTGTATGATTTCATTTATACGACATCTTTGAAATGACAGAATTGTAGAAATGAGCAGGTTTGTGCTTGCCCGGACAGAGAAGGAAGCAGGGAAGTGTGTGCGGCTCTCGAAAGGGCAACATGAGAAATTCCTATGGTGGTGGAAATGTTTCTGTAGCTGAACTCTCAGTGCCAATATCCTGGTTGTGATTTTCTGTAATTTTTCACAGTGT